ATCGTAATTTGCATTCGAAAATGAGATTCACCCACAGAGAGCATATTTATAAATTCAGCTTGTACGAATAGATAGAAAACTATTAATTATCATAAATGGTTCAAGGTTTACTAAACATTTTAAGATATTTTTTCGGGAAATTTATTTACACATAATTATATGTCATAATTTATGATATATAAATAATGTATCGAATCTATTGAAAATAAAGTTCAAAGAAATATATATTAATTGCAGTATGCCTCTATCTATTTTAACTCTTATCTTGAATATCTCATATGCTATGGAAAAAGAAAATAAAACGTTATCACTTTTAACCGTTTATACAACGTATTTGTCGATATTGAGTCTGCTGGAGACAGACTTATTTTTTGTCCTTCTGTAGCAATACTTAATATTTAATATTTAATTAAATTTCTGTTTTATTACTATAAAGCTAACAAAATTCCACAAAAATGCCAAAAAAATCCCAATAAAATTTATCTAAGTCTGAGCATAGAGCTTTTTAGAACTCTATCATTTTTCAAAAGAAGAATATCATTTTTGTTACTATATCCTTACAAATTTTAGAGTTTCGACTGTCAAAAGGATTGAGCTGCGGGGCAACAAACTTGGACACGGTAGCATCGCGGGGCATATTGAGCCACTTAAAAAACGATATTTTCGATGTGTGTGCTTTATCGGTCGCGAACGTGGCGCAGACCGGATAGTCACGTGCTGTGCGTGCCTCACCGTGGATTTCCCAGATTTGCGATCCCCGAATCTCGCTGGCCGTCCTATCTCCGACGAAAACCCGAGCTCCGCAGCGCGCACCCTCGATCGGTCCAAGGCAAAAATAATAGACTCGTCGCACGTTTTCATTCCCTCGGCGTGTCGGTGAGGCGAGATCGACGACTATTATCGACTGCACCCTCATCCTATGGAAAAGCTCTTCGGGGATAGGCGTAATCACGAAAATTCCATGCGAAGCACTCTAAATATCTTTACGCAAGACAGCGACGCCACGGTACGGCTTCTCCATTATCGATTAATTGATCAATTTTTCATATCTTCACCTACCGGTATACTGCTTATCTAGCAATACCCTTTTGCTATTAAGAAGCTCGCTGAAAATTTTTACTGTGCGTTCAAAGATATCGTAAGGAACTGCTATTAAATTATTAAACAAACTTCATTGATTTCTTAATTTCCTTAATTGTGATTTGGAAAGAAATAAGACTATTTTTCTAATCTTTCACAATTTAAAAAACAGTCATTAAAAATTATCTATAGCTTTATTTTATTATTAATATTTCTATATATATTATTATTAATATTTATTATTAATATTCTTTTGGTTATAGGTATGCCAGTTCTAATCCAGAGATCTATCTCGGTCTTATCCTAATTAGCTTTATTTTCAATATTTATGAATATGAACATATCATTTTGTAACGTAATGCGTGGCTTTATTTTGAGATAAGCACATTGGCAAGGTTTTCAACTTTTCAAATTCATCATTTTAGATGTATTGAGAGTTAACGATTGAAAATCCAATTCATGCCATCTTACGTATAAGAAACGACTATGTATCTGTCATTCTGTGTAATTTATATTTCTGATATAAAGAAAAATAGATGTATTGTTTTCTTCCTTTTACGGTTGGAGCATTCCGATTAAAATAATGGACATGAAAACGTTAAAAAGTATATGCAACATTTCGTAATGTTTCTCGTCTGAGTAATGGGTCCAGGGAGATTTTTGATATTTTCCGAGCGGAAAGGACCTTCCCTACAGCGCGCGTGTAAAAGCACGTATGTGGCGAATCGATTGTGCAAACAAGAGCGCTCCCGTCTATCGTCCTCTCGTTAAATTTCTGTTTCACCGTTTCAATGCAAACGTTGCGAGATATAAAAATTGCAAGCAGGCCATCAGGCCAATCCAAGAAGTTTCGCTCTGTTTGCTCCGTTCGGCGCGTCTAACTTGTTAATAGCGCGTAATCACAAATCAATCTTTATTTGTATATATACGATATTTTGTTTATACGATACATTCGTTATAAGGTGATATGTATATCATACACTGAAATTTGCGAAATTTTTCTTCAATCAAAATTGAATCGGTATTTTTTACAATCATTAAAGATTTGAACTTTTCCGTGAAACGTTGATTATGAGATAATTAAATCATGATAATTAAGTTTCGTCTTAAAATTTGCTAAACTAGAATCTGCTCAACTAAATATTTAAACAAACGTCGAAAGTGTTTCTTTCTTTATTTCTGAATATATCTACATTAGATATGTGTCTTTATAATATAAAAATAGACAAAATAAATATAATCAAATATAAATCTATAATATTTCCCCCATAATTGAATTGTCTTATTATCTCGAGTTCAAACACATTAAAAATAATTCTTTAAAAAATATAAAAAACTTGATATTATGATTCTAGAAGAGACATACAAATTACTTTATGTTATCATATAATTTCGAATTTTATTTCCTTTTTGAAGAATGTTGTTACGAGCCAAGAATTAATATTCACATTTAACCTTAAGTGCAGATAGATACGAATTTCATTTTTAACGAGTCGTATCGCACAGAATTGGTCGAATTCGATCGATGAGAACACTGGAAGACAGGCAGGTGGTGGATGAGTCGCCGCCGATCAAACGCCTCGAATTGGCAGCGATTTCTCGACCAGCGGCCGCAGCCAACCCCCCGTCAACCAGCCGCCACTTCCGCGTCGAGTCAATTTTATTAATTCCACCCCCCACGATCCACCTTCATACCGTGATGACTCGCACGATTTTTCCGGCAGCTTTCAATTATCCGAGGACCCGCGCTCCCACAAGCGAGCAAACGAGCACTACCTCGTGAAATATCGATCGTCTCGT